TGAGGGGGGGAGTGAGCAAGCAGCTGTATGGTGCTGAGCTGCTGGCTGGGGTTAAACCATGACACCCTGCCTAACTTCACAAAAATATTTTCACAATCTTTTCTCAGTATTTCCCAATGCAGGCTACTTTGTGTGTGTATACAACAGACATTGCCAAAGGCTTTTCAGATTGATTTCATTTGAAGAACTTAATGCATTTGCAACAACAAAAGTACCAAACAGCTTTTCATTCGTTAGTAGTAATTGTCTTTTGTAAGTGCTGTATTTTCAGATCTTACAGTCATGAAGCTGGCCACATCAGTTCCATGGATAAAATTATTTTCAGGGTTTTTATGACAGGCTTCCAGAACTTCATGCTCTAAAGATACACTGTCCAAAACATCCAGCCATTACAGAAATCTTTCTTTCAAATATTGAAGATATTTATTTGATGATGCATTCTGCATTTTATCACTATTATTTGTTATACTAAGGCATTTTTTTCCATTTGGAAAGCTGAGATATGACCTGGAATTTCAGAATCTACATAGATTTGTCTTGTTTCAGCTTTAAATGTTACAAGAAAGATTAAGTCTTTCGTTGAATGAATCTAGAATTAGTTAACTGAAGTGTTTTGTTGTTGTTCTGGTGTTCATATTTTCTGATTCTTGAAGCTGTCGTCCACAGGATTTCCTTACAACCAGTACTTACGGTTAGTAAAGTCTTTTGTGCTAGGTTTCCGTAAAGCAATATTAGACAATTTAATTCCCGGCTCTTTTACTTCTCTTACCAAGTATGAAACCACCCTGCTAAGTGGAGTGAGAGCTTGCAGTTTGCTTTTAACTGCTGAGGTTATTGCTTCCAGCCTGAGCTCCCGTCTCAGGGACAATTAAAACTGAAGTACCACCTTGTTTGTACTGGGTCCCATTGCAGGGCACAACCTTAAAATGAAACAAGTTATTCTTGGACTTGGGGGTGTTGTTGATTGATGGGAAGCTCAACATGAGCCGGCAGTGTGCGCTTGCAGCCCAGAAAGCCAACTGTGTCCTGGGCTGCATCAAAAGAAGCATGACCAGCAGGTCGAGGGAGGTGATTCTCACCCTCTACTCTGCTCTGGTGAGACCCCACCTGGAGTACTGCGTCCAGCTCTGGGGGCCCCAGTACAGGAGAGACATGGAGCTGTTGGAGAGAGTCCAGAGGAGGGCCACAAAATTGATCAGAGGGCTGGAGCACCTCTCCTGTGAGGACAGGCTGAGAGAGTTGGGGTTGTTCAGCCTGGAGAAGAGAAGGTTCTGGGGAGACCTAATTGCAGCCTTCCAGTACTAAAGGGGGCCTACAGGAAAGCTGGTGAGGGACTGTTTATCAGGGAGTGTAGTGACAGGACAAGGGGTAATGGGTTTAAGCTGAAGGAGGGTCGGTTTAGATTAGATGTTAGAAAGAAATTCTTTGCTGTGAGAGTGGTGAGGCACTGGCACAGGTTGCCCAGAGGGGTTGTGGATGCCCCATCCCTGGAAGTGTTTAAGACCAGGTTGGATGGGGCTTTGGGCAGTGTGGTCTAGTGGAAGGTGTCCCTGCCCATGGTGGGGGGGTTTGGAACAAGATGATCTTTAAGGTCCCTTCCAACCCAAACCATTCTATGATTCTTAAAAAGTGATTGTGGAATGGCATATCTCCATCTCAGAGAAACAGAAAGCGTCAGCAAGAAGCCCATGGGCATTTGCATCAGGCAAAACAGTGTCACCAGCAGGTTGAGGAAGGCCATTATTCCTCTCTACACAGCCCTGGTGAGACTACATCTGTAGTGCTGGGTCCAGTTCTGAGCTCCCAGTACGAGAGAGAGGTGAACATATCAGAGTGAGTCCCAGTGAAGGACTGCAAAGGTGATGAAAGGCTTGGAGTATCTGGCACAGAAGGAAAGGCTGAGAGAGCTACGATTGCTCAGCCTGGAGAAGAGGAGGCTCATGGGAGATCTTATGCACTTGAAGAGGGATAAGTGGGTGAGGCATATAAAGCAAAGCTCAGTAGTGCCCAGTGACTGGACAGGAGGCAATAGGTGCAAAACTAATTACAGGAAATTCCACTTAAACATAAGAAAACTTTTTATGGTGGAGGTGGTCATACATTGAAAAAGGTTGCCTAGAGAGGCTGTAGAGTCTCCATCCTGGGAAATACTCAAAAACAAACTGGACAAGGACCTGAGCTACCTGTAGTAGCTGACTGTGCTCAAAGCAGAGGGGTTGAATTAGGTGATCTCCAGAGCTCATTTCCAACTGCAACCATTCTGTAATTGTGTAAAATTCAGTATCAGTAGGTAGGTGTCTACATATATGCATAGGTAGTCCAAGTCAGGAAAACACTTATTTTTCTGCTATTAATACTCTTATTTGCCTGGAGAGCTGGGAGGTAGGACCTTCTTTGAGCTGGAATTTGATGTTTAACATTTCCAGTGATAAAGATGTCTGAGTTATTCTAAGGGTAAACAGTAGGAAAGAGGCATTGAAGGATAAATGTTCAGAATTAATTATTTTTGTATGATAAAGATTCTTCTTTCCCCCTCACTCCCAGTGTTAAGACCTAGTCTACAATGATCCCTTTGTTGTATAGCTGTTCAGAATTTTTACTTCTTTAGGATTATATGATTGGGAAAAAAATACTAGGATTTAGTTACTGAATTCAGTATTTTGGCCTTTTTAAAGCATTGCCCATTTATAAAATAATCTAAAAATCTGCATAAGTAGTTTTTATTCTTTCTTATAAAGTAGGCTTATATGCCCGTGGATTAATAAAATGACTGGCATGTTCAGAACTTGTATTTGTTTAGTTTTTAACAAATTATATTCTGGGGATGTTTTATGGTTTCAGAAGATTTATAGGGTTGCATTTAAAGGCAGTTTCTTTTGCCTACTCTGGAGCACATGCCATGGTGGTTTTAAGTGTGCTGTGCATGTTTGACAAGTTAGGAACTTAGCAATCCCCATCAGTGCTGAGCCACACTGTCTCAGGCTTTGTTTTTGTTGGCTGGTATCCAGTACCATGCTATAAAATACATTTACTTGACAGTAGAAAGTGGAGAACCACATTAACTACAAAGTTTAAAAAGGCTGGCTAAACACATGCAATAAATATTAATAAAAGAAAAGGCCACCCACCTTTGACCTTCAATACTTGTTATTAGCTTTGTGTGTTTTGGAGTTACCATAGCATTTTTAGCATTACATAACACTCTGTAAGAATGTCTTATTTAAATATATTATTAGCAACCCTGTATTGGTTATTTTGGTTGCTTGTGGCAGGGGTCATGGACAAAATGCATTACCAGAATTCTACTTTGTACTTCAGAGTTACCTGTAAAAAGATTGTTGTCCGCTAGCTGTCTCATAATAAGCAAGCCAGGTTTATTTGTATCTATAAGTAAATGGGAAGGTATAATGTTGTATGTGTATCCATGTAGAGGGAGGATGTTTGACAGAGGAATCTTGTAAAGAATGGTCAGTTGATTCATGTAAACTCATCTCACTCAATTTTTCTTCCTAAAGAAGAACACAAAGCAAAAAAAAAAACCAGCTCAGAGTTGTCATCCATCATCTTGCAGTAAAATGAAGTTCTGATTCATGATGGCTGAATGGGCTTCAGAATTTTTTCAATGTTTTTTACCTTATGTGCCTCATAACATTCAAAAAAAATGGGATCTGGACCAAACCAGAAATATGGTGGAACATGAAATGGGAAGTCATTCAGGAGTCATTACAGCTGACACATCACCATTCTTTTCCAGGTTAGATGGCTTTCATCTCCCAAGTTACAGGCCTATATTACACTCCTAATTATATTTTAGCTTTGATGTATTTATCATATAAGACATTAGTGGTTCCCATTTTGTGAATTTCGTGTGCTGTACAACATAAAAAAAAGGTATATATGTGTTGATATTTTAATGATAGATAGCTAGATGATAGTGGTTGAATATTGAATTATTAATTCACTTTGAGAAGAGTCTATTCCTGGTTTTTGAGAAGGGAGAAGTAGTAAGCTTGGGCAAACAAAAGGGCTAGAAAAACAAGCATTGTTCAGTGAAATTCTAACAGGATGATGCATCCTGCTAGCTCTGGATACATTTATTACATAGGTAACACAAACACTGTTAAGACCCGTCTTCAGTCTTGGACAGCAGTCCTTTAAAGAGTTATCATCTCTAAAAAATAGATGCTTCCTCCTCTGCTCCCCAGTTACTCAGATGCACATGCAGGTTTTATTGTTTGTGTTATGGTGCGTTGTCCTTCGTGGCGTATTGTGCCCACTTATTTGGTGCTCTCGAGTCAGAACCTCGAGTCTTACAGAGTTTCTATGCTAGCCTGCTGAATCAGGCTGAATACAGTAATCACATGGAGATTCAAAGTCACACAGAGAACCATGCTGTGTGTACAAAAGAACAATACGCTTAATGTCTGAAAATGAGTTTCTCTGCTGACCAGAAGAGTGACAGAGCTGTGAGACATTGCCTTCAAATACCAAGCTCTTCTGGGTGTTAAGAGGAAGAAAGAACCAAGAGTGAAAATCAGCTGCTCTTCCATTTCTGCAGTCAGCAAGTGAAAGGTCAGCACTGTGTGAGAAGGAGGGAAAAACAGATAAAGAACAGGGTGGAAGAATTAAAAATAAAAATGCAAAAGTCATGAAGGCCTGCATTGCTACATCTGAAGCACTTCTTTGTTCTTCAAATCCCCCTTTAACTTTCCATTTCTATTATGCCCACGAAGACCCTGGAGCATTTAGCCTGTGGAAACCACTGGTTATCACATTGCCACCAATTTGTACTTCCTTCTCTGCCTACATCCATGTTTTGTCCCTCCTTTTACATTGCATTCTGCTCTGGAGAGGAACTTTTATTCATTCATATATTCATTCATATGCTTAAGCTTGTTCCTGCTACAGTGTGACTTTGATTCACTATTTGACAATATGAATATTAATTCTAAGTTCTATATGAATGACCAACTAACTATTAATACGTTTCTTTATTTCAGAGTGTTGTGCGTTGCCTTTGGCATCCCAAGCTGAACCAGATCATGGTTGGTACCGGAAATGGTTTGGCCAAAGTGTACTATGATCCTGTCAAAAGCCAGAGGTATGTAATCATGATAATGATTAAGAACATTATTTTTTTTTCTCAAATTTAACCTTTTTCTGTGGTTCTATGATTATAGTAAGAAATGAGAAAAACTGGCTTAGTAACATTTGTTTTGCAGAGTTTTACTTATTTCATAACAGTAGAAATTAAAAACCCAACAAACTAGTTCATTTATGACAAGCAGCCCGTTTTCCTCTGGACTTTTCACACTGCAGTATGCTCACTGTTCTACCTGAATTTACGAACACTTTTATTTCTTAATTGCAATAAATTTGCAGTAAGAATAACCAGCCTTTTATCTCATCTCTTGGAGGTTACTGATGTGGTGTTATTGAAAAGATAGTTATTGTATTTAGTCATATTTTTTATGTCTTTTTTTTCCCTGAGGTAAAAGTCTGGTTTAGAAGCATTAGCTTAAACTGCAGTGTTTTTGTAAAGTAATACTGGGAGACCAAATTTGAGAGGAGACAAACCAAGGAAACATATTCTCTTCTTTCTACTAGTCTTCCTCATCCCTACCTGTCACCTGTGGATTTTGCCTGTACATCTAATGGAAAGGTGGTAGTGATTCATCAAAAGGTGACTTGTCAGCCTGGAATGAAAAGAAGAGGACTTAACTAGTCCATAAATACTTCTTTTGCAATTAATTTGCTTTTACTGTCTGGATTGACTGGAGAACTAGGGCATGCTTCCTTCCTGTCAGCAGAGGGGAAATGTTCTACTTCATCTATGCTGAGTGGTATGAATAAGATGTTCTTCCTCTATACGCACTCATCTCTGTTTCACTGGCATCCAAAAACATACTGTGTTACAGTTCACAGTTCCTGGATACTTACTGTGACCTGGACACTTGGATGTGAAGATAAACTCTGGTTTACAAGATTGTCAGAAATGTGTTATTTTTGTGGTCTCTGTCAATTTAGAGAAGAGAGTTGGTCATCATTGCTTGGACCCCTCTCCAGAGGGTAGCCTGAGTCTCCTAGGCACAGACCACAAGAGCCCTAGCTCAGTTTTGTGCCCAGTTTGTTTCCTGGTGTTTATCATGAGGAGGAAAATACCACCAGTTTAAATCACTCTTGCTGCAGCCAGGCTTATGCAGTCTTCCTGCCGCAGTGTTACAGACACTTCTGGTTAGATAACTGCCACCTCTACTGCTTAGGAACCTGAGAACTAGGAGCAAATCATTGCCCATGTTTGGAGAGGAGAACTTTCAGCATGCACACTACAAGCACTGTGGACAAACGACGTGTGAAATGAATCTTCCACCCTTATTTCCGCATGTCATATAAACTGCTCTATAACAGAAACACTAATCTCTCTACCCTCCTTAACATGTGTATGGACAGGCAAAGATACACACGTTCATGAATATTTAAAGTGCTATATGATTTTGTTGAGACTACATCTTGAATAAAAAATGGTTTCTGTTTGATATAAACATACCAGCTGAACTGCTGTATGTTTCCTCCTAGGGGAGCAAAATTATGCGTGGTCAAAACAAAACGAAAAGAGAGACAAGCAGAGACTCTCACACAGGACTACATTATAACACGTAAGAAATTTAAACATATCTTTATAGCAGCATCCTTAGCTCTTTCTCAGGTTCGAAATTATTTGTAGATCATTTAGCTTTATATTTTCCCCTCTAAAAAGCTGCTGTCTTTCATTAAGTATTGATCATTGGTATGGTATTAATGCTTCTTACAAAGTTTTTGTAGCCTTGCACAACCAGAAAGGTGTATATTCAGTATGCTCTGTAAAGTTGTTAATAATGGTTGGTTTCTAGATTCTGATGCACCTGAAAGTCTGAAAGGGCAGTTGCCTTAACAACATCAAGAAAAAAAGAACAAAAACCCAAACCTCCAAACTTCAGAGCTTTCTTAAATCTTCAGTTCTACATAACTAAATTGGTGAGTGCAGAGGGTTTAGGAAGTGTTTTGACACTTGGGAACATTAACAGTACCAGTGGCAAAATCAGAGACATTAGAGATGGATCTTGAACAAGTTCCAGGTGATTTTTTCAGGGTTATACTTGTAGAAGACCTTATGCTCATATTAAGGCTCATTGATGCATACGAAATAGTTATCACTGTTACTATAAAATGTTTAGCAATCTCCCTTTTCTGAATGGCAAATTTTACAAGATGAGGGCATCAACTGAGAGATTTTTGCCCTTCCCATTAGCATTCCTCTATGTAGTGTTTTCCTCATGTGGAATGAGAACAGTCACACAGTTGTGCTGTCCTGCTTCCCTTCATCCTCTTCCAGTTCCATGATGTTTGGATTCAGCTTTGTTTTTCCAGTAGTCTTGGTCTTAGAGATAGCTAAAATAATTTCTGTAGAACAAAGTAGGTGTTTGGCAGCATAATAAACAACAACAACAAAAAAGTTTAGAAAGGGGAAGTCTGGGCAGTCATGGTAACCAGGACCATATCAAGGCACTTTGGTTCTGGGTTCCCATCTCAGGTACTTTCCAGCCACAGCTGTCTCCTACTTACCTCACTGCTGCAGATATCCAGCTCCAGTTTTTGGGTAGCAGTGGGTAAAGTAGCAGCTGGCAGAGATCAGGGATATTGATCACTTTTGGGTGCTCTTCGCAATCCATCCTTACTACAGCTTTGACTATATCAGCACGTGGTCTATTATCTAAATACTTTGTGTGCACTGTCATTAGTGTTTATAATGTAAAGAGCTTTTGTGATTTTTAAAAAACTTCCTGCTTAAAATCCAGTGGAACTTTTGGATTTATAAATGCCATTCAAAGACTTAGGTCTCAATTATGCAAAGTTTCAGAATTTTATCACTGAGTTTTACCTGTTCAACTGTTTCTTCCACGTAATTTAGAAACTAAACAAGGATACTTCCATGTAAAGCAGTGGAGAAAAATGTTGTAAGGATTTGCTTTGCGAATTTTTAAGTTTGTTGCATATTTTGGAAATTCTTCAGGGATTAGATGTCTATCTTTTAAGCTTACACATAGAACTGGAAAGAACTGAAGATCTCAGAAGTCCTTCGGCAAAGTGAACCAACCCCTTTTTCCTTCTTCTCCTCCCCCCCCAAAAAACCAGCCTCCATTTTTTCTTTCTTTGGACTTCTAGCTGTGCTTCAATCTCAGGATTGCCTGTAATGGATATTTAAAATGCAGGAATGTTGTTCTGAGGGATTAGGTGTTACTTTTAAAACACAGGAATACACAGTTTGGATTTCCCTCAGGCAACCTTGACTCCACAAATGGCAAAAGCTTGGATCTGTGCATTAGTCACCTCAGATGCTCTATGCAAACTTATCAGCTTTAGTGCTTGCCAGCAGATTGTCCCAGGAATTTCATACTTCATGAAATCTACAAAAGTAAAACCTAAACACTTATTTCCAAAGATCCACTGCTGGGTCACCTGACTGTGACTTTACCCAGTCTAATAAATTGAGCAGGTTTCCAGAAATAAGCTGAAAAGTCAAACTGATAGGTCCCTGGATGCCGCCTTCTGGTTTTTATTCAATGTAGAGATGATGCCCTTACATTTAAGAATTGTTTGGGTGTTTTTTCTCTTTGTTGGGTCTTTTGACACTAACACAATTTCCCACATTTTGGGAAACAGCAGCAATCAGCACATCTGAATGTGAGAACTAAACCTTACTACTAGAAGACTCTGCCCCTCAACATGGTATTTCTCTATTACTGACAAATGCGTCTCTTATCTGAGTGGACCAAAGCCATTACTGTGATTGAAGATACTGTTGCAGGTTTGTGAGGAAATAGAAGTTTTAACTCCTGATAATTTAGCCAGATGGTCTCAGTTACAGGTATTTCTCCAACCTTGATTAATCTCATAATTTAAGAAAAAACATGATTGCAACTTCATATGCAGAAACATTACGTTTTGGATCATTGAGGGGATTCCACCCCTCTCTGTTTCAGATTCAAGAATGCATCTATTGTTTTGTCATGGTCTTAGAGTATTAGAAAGCTGTAGAAACACGGAAAGTTCAGAAAAAACAACAGTTTGGTCACAAGGTAATGTTGAGAACTGAATGACAGGAGAATAAATTAACTATGCATAAACTGTGCAAACAGTATTTCAGATGAAAGGCTCCTTCCTAAAGGAACCCTGGAACTCTGGCTGCTTTCATCTTTGAAAAATTCAGCAGAAAGAAGCCCTTTAAAATACATCTCAGTTACCACTGCTTGGATACAGAAGAACTGGGATGCTGCTTCTGCCACCTTTTCCAATGCAAAGAAGAATCCCAGTCTTTGTAATTAAAACCTTAAAAAGAAAGTGGAATTTCTAACATTTCTTTTTCTCCAAACTGTGACTCTTCAGCCCATGCGCTTCCAATGTTCCGTGAACCACGACAGCGAAGCACCAGGAAACAGCTGGAGAAGGATAGGCTGGACCCCATGAAATCTCACAAACCTGAACCTCCAGTAGCAGGACCAGGTAATCTAGGCATAATCATTTCAGACTGCCATATGCCAAAGGGACTGTCATGCTTGGGTTCTAAACTTGTTCAGATTTGCATTCAAAGTTTTTTGGGTCGCAACTTTACTATATATGTATGGGCAGTGTCCAGCACTGTAGCACTTCTCCTGTGAAGACAGGCTGAGAGAGTTGGGTTGTCCAGCCTAGAGAATAGAAGGCTCTGGGGAGACCAAATTGCAGCCTTTCAGTACCTGAAGGGACCTTCAGGGAAGCTGGAGAGGGACTGTTTACAAGGGCATGGAGTGATACGACAAGGGGGAATGGTCTTAAGGTGAAGGAGGAGATATTTAGAATAGATGTTAGGAGGAAATTCTTTACTGTGAGGGTGGTGAGGCACTGGAACAGGTTGCCCAGAGAAGCTGTGGATGCCCCATCCCTGGAAGTGTTCAAGGCCAGGCTGGATGGGGCTTTGGGCAACCTGGTCTAGTGGAGGGTGTCCCTGCCCATGGCAGGGGGGATGGAACTAGATGATCTTTGAGGTCCCTTCCAACCCAAACCATCCTAGGATTTTGTGATTCTAAGTCCTTGATTGGAGTGCTTGCCTGGAGTAAATTAATAATCACAATGGCTTGCTTTAAGTTAATCAATAAAACATTTATGTGAATGCAGCTCTAAATTAGACTCTTCCTGTAGTATTAAATAACTTCTTTATATCAGATCACCATTAAAGACACAATACAACATTTCTCTGTATATTTCTTAAATATTTTTCTCTAAAATACTCTTTCTTTTTTTTTTCTTTTCCTGCTACAGGTCGCGGTGGGCGTGTTGGAACTCACGGAGGTACCTTGTCATCATATATAGTCAAGAACATTGCACTGGATAAGACAGATGATAGCAACCCTCGAGAGGCTATTTTACGTCATGCAAAGGAAGCGGAGGAGAATCCATACTGGGTTGCTCCGGCATATGCTAAGTAAGGAAACAATTAAAAATACAAGTAGTGTTTCTGGAGGCCAGTGGGAGTTTGGTAAAAATAGAAGACACACATTTTTAATGGTATACTTTGCCTTTTCTGGATTGCTGCCATGAATATGTAAGCCAAGGATATGCCATACTCTTTTATGAAGATAAGCGTTTCTAGGAGGTTAAATTGTTGAAATTTGACATTTCCATTTTTAAAATGTACCTGTCAGTGCTAGAAAATTATTTTAAAGCTTTCTAAGTTGATGAGAATTTAGAATCTTCTCCAAATCACTGTCTGAAATTGCAGTGTACCTTTTAATAAGCTACTGTCCCATTGACAGACTGGGATGTTAAGTTTTCCAGTATGGCCTCTAATTCTGACTGAGGTTAAACCTTCAAAATATTTACTTGGTGTTACGACAGCATATTTTAGATAATTTCTCGAATGTAATAAGTTTTTATTTGCATTTTTTCTACATAAGGACCTGAGTACCTGCTTGAATTAACATTCTTTTAAAGGTATAGCAATATTAAAAATTGCACTGATAAAGTCTCCTACCAAAAATTCAACATAAACAAGTAAGTGTTCAGTTGTTGTTACATGAATTAAAGAGTCTCATCAAGATTATGAGACTTGGTAATCCCACAGATGGTAACTTACTCAGTTTAAATTGTATGTGTGAATGTGGTATTTGTGTGTGTGTTACAATGAAAATTGTGCAATATGCTTCTAGAATGCTTTCTACCAAAGGTTTAGTTTTTTTCCTAAAACAATATACAATTCAAACCATTAATAAATACATTCATAGTAGTACTAAAAATAATACTAAATAAATGCATTTCATACTAATGAACAGAAGCTACCACTTTAAAAATTAATTGAATTTTCACATTTTGTTATTATCATTGATGGTTTTGTTACACAAAGTAATCTATCTAGTATAAGCAGTATTTTCAAAATGCATAAGGAAAAAAAACTTCTGAAGCGATGAAATATAATCTGCACAGGTCTGCCAATAGCAAACAATTTTTTCTTATTTGCAGCCCAGTGTTTAATCTCCTAGGCTGTACTTTAATTAGTACTTTACTGACTGTATGTTCTTTTTAGTGTTTAGCTCTTATGTGAAACAATCACCACCGCTTTCCAGAAAGTCAGAATATATTAAGAATCATAGCTGTTTCTAGTCGCGACTCTTGTTTCTGACTTGACCGACGTGTTCACAAAGATAACTGAATAGCTGTTCCAAAGCAGCTTGAGAACATCAGTGACCCAGCCCAGCTTTAACTGAGTAATTAATAAGTATGGCATTTGATGTTGCACATCAAATCAATGCATTATACAGTATCACCCTTGGTACCAAAGAAGGAATATTGGAAAGTCTAATTCTGTAACAGTTGTTGTAATGAATACACTAAACATTGATTTTTTTAATTGTGTGAGAGTTCATGTTTGCTAGAGATGAAATGTACTTTGTGTAGGCACCTGGTTTTATTTGAGATATGCAACTATCCATTCTCAAAAGTAAATACAATCCCACATTCCATCAGGTAGATAGATACTTCAGTATATTTTTGGCTCAGTAACTTCATTGATTGTGTATTCAGTTTCATCCCTGACACCTGCAATGTAGTAGACATGAAAGTTTTAAAACATAGCTGTATTACAGAAGGCTTACTGTGTCAGGTGGGCAGATCTCATTACAGTTTCTTGTTAAATATGTAGCTGCAGGGGAAGAAGAGAGCTGGCTGAGAAGTGGGGAGGATGCAAGTCCAGACTGCTATTAGCTTACACACCAGACGGTGATATGTATGTGGGGGAATTGGACTGCAGCCAACAGCATGCTGCCGTGATGGTTTTGTCAGCTGATAAATCTCAATGCCAGTGAAACTGCCATTATCCTTGTTTTAAAAGCTTGACTTTAAGATGTACTCTAGGCAAAGAGAATTATTACTATTATTATTATTATTATTGCCACTGAAATACAAAACCTTTCCTTATGATTGTGTTTTGTTCTTAATTTTCAGAAATGGATGTCTATACTAACAGCTGCAGACCAATGGCAGTCATAGGTTTCGTTAGCTGCTTGCCTGCACATACAGATAATATAGAAAGCTGTGTTAATTATATTCCATATCTGACTTTACAGTGCATGTATTGTTACCCTGTACATAAAGCATCTTACAGATGTTCTTACGAATGCATATTTCATAAAATTTCAAGTAATTGATATTAGCACATAATAGTGGATTGTAAGAGTGTCCCCAGTGGCCCTGTTAAAATCACGAGTTTATAGTAATGAGCAGTATACAAACCTAGGGAAGCTGGCTTCTTTAGCTATAGTATCAGATATACTATACTTAGGAAAGGTGATATTCTGGTACATACTTTAAATTACATACTATCTTGAGAGCTAAAAAACATACATCCAGTAAGTTTCATTTTTTTAAATAGTGTTTATTCTTTTTATTACTTTATTTCTGTGCTATCAGTTTTTCCACATTTCTTGTAGTAAATTTTCACTTAAATATGGTATAAAACTACCCAGTTGATATAGCTGTTGTTTGACAAGGGTTTTGGGTTTGTGTTGTCTAATAGATGGTTATTCACTTGCAGTTTTTTATTCTCCTTCTAAAGTAAATGTCTAAGGAAACTATAGTTCCTTAATTTTCTTCACTGATGGTTATTAAATAATTTTAGACTGAGAAGACCAAGAAGTGCTCTTTTTCTGGTTGATCAGAGTTTTCATAACTCTCATTGTGATGACTGTGTTAGAGTTTGTATGGTTCTGATTCATACTGATTAGGTCATTCTAAACCTGATGACCGATTTCATGCTTTTTTAATTGTATTTTCACATCATTAATTCTTGTAAGAAATATCTGCAACATGACTTTTGCTGTTAGTGTATGCATTGTATGTAAAAATATTTCCTTTTTGTTGAGTTAAAGGTGCCTAACTTATTCTTGAAGCCAAATAGTAATTTGATTATATATAATTTGAAAATTTTTTCAAGCTTGTTATCATTAGCTTGACCTTTCTGTTTCTCCTAAAATTTGAGACAGAAAAGGAGGGGTGAGTGCATAAGAGGAAAAAAAGATGGGTGAAAAATCAGATACTGCTGAAAAGGATACTGGGGATGATAAGAAGTACATGCTGAATCAGGAGATGGCATATTACAGAAGCTCAGTGTGAATAGAATGTCAAAAAAGATGTGATCAACACAGCAGAAAAGTCATAATGGATGAGGATAAAAAAAAGATCTTGAGATTTTTCAGGAAAAAGCTTGTTAGAGACCGTTCCAGTGGAGTGAAGAGAAAGGGAGGACAGATTGAAGATTTCAAGTAAAGAACTACAGGAAAGGAACTTGAGGCATCAGTTGTAAATGTTTGAAAATTACATTCTTTGTGAGCTGTTTGTTTTAACACAGCTGTACCGAGATGCTACAAGGACTTCAGATGTCCCTCTGAAGGATCAGCGGGAATTACTAAGCACTGTAGCTGAGGACCTAATCAGGCCCAGACGTAGCTCTCTCTAGTACCATAGGGGAGGTGAGGGTGAAGTTTCCCTCCCCACCAAGATAGACTCGAGTTCTTAGAAACTACCTTTCAGTTCAGTGGTGTTGCCCCTATTTTGCCCTCTTTGTCATTGCTGCTTGTCACTGAAAAAAGGGAACGACTTGAATCACAGCTTGTCGTGTGCTGTGTCCACTGAACTTTTTCTCAATGGCAGTACCAGCATGTGAAGTGTCAGTCATGCGGTGGCTCAGGTGTCCTTTAGTTGAAGAAGCAGGACTGAACGGAATGTTTTGTAACAGTGATTTTGTTGGCACATGTTGGTATATTTAAGCTAAATGTTTTTTTGGAAATTGGTAATTTTGAGAGGGAAGCCACTGAGATTCAGAGAAAAGTCAGGCTGGTTGGTGGGGTAAGAAATACAAAGGGGCCTGATACTGAAAACATTCACTTTTCAGTCTGGAAGTAGGCTTTATGATGTTATTCTCATTTCCAAGCATGCTTGAAAGTCTTCATTTTCCCTTGTTTCAGTGCAGTATAAACACAAATTTCAAAAGTTACTGCGACATGAGTCACATGCTGAGATATGCAATTGACATCTCCAGCTGGTTTGGCTGTAGCAGTATCTTTTTTAGCTGGTAGTCTATGAACCTCAGATGTCAATGAGCTACTTTTACTGGATCCCTGAAAGGTAACTAAGAAAAACAACCTATAACCAGAGGGATTATGGCAACTCTAAAGCAGTCTGCATGGCACCTGGTATTTTTTTTAGGGATCTGCATATCTGAATATGTTCAAAACCACTGAAATAGAGAGTCACACAGTATGGATAAATCATGTTAGTTTGTTTTCCCATTTTTGTTAACAGCCTGTTAGTGTCACCCACAATAGGAATGCATTTGTCAGTGTATGAGATACCAGTTTCAGCTGACAGTCATGTGGAAGCACAGGATCATAGAATAATTTAGGTAGGAAGACACCTCTGGAGGCCATCTAGTCCAGCGTCCTGCTTAAAGCTTGTTCACTTGCATCAGGTTGCTCAGGTCCAATTAGATTCAGGTTGTTCAGGGACTTGCCCACTCAAGTTTGAATTTCCTCAAGGATGGAGATGCCGCAACACCTCTCAGGGCAGCCTGTTCCACCAGCCTGATTGGCAGTCATAGTATGCCCTTGCTAAATGCTGACAGTTCCCTATCATCTTCTTGTCCTTCATGTGCCTGGAAATGCCTTCCATGGGGATTTGTTCCATAGCCTTCACTAGGACTGAGGTTAGGTAGACCATCCTGTAGTTCATAAAATCTTCCTTTTACCCTTCATAAAGGTGATGATGTTTGCCTTTTCTAGTCATTGAGAATCTCCCCCAATCACCTAATGACCTCTCAAAGATGACAGAGTATCCTTGCAATGACATTGACCAGCTCCCTCAGTATCTTTGGATCCATCCCATTAGATCGAGTGGATTCATGTCTGTCCAGTGAGCTACGTGCTCCCTGTCTCTGTCTTCCTCTTCTGTTGGTAATGTCTCACTCTCTCTCAAAGACTCTGCTGGTAGTGTAGGGGTCCTCAGAGACCTGAGGACAGACCTTCTCAAGGAAAACAGAGCCAAAAAAACCATCTTGACCTTTTCTATATCCTACAGTAGTGGGTTACCTGCCCCATTGAGCACATTTTCCTTAGCATTCCTTTAGCTGTCAGTGTAGCTGCAGAAGCCCTTAGTGTTGCCTTTTACATTTCCTTCCAGTTTCAACTCCAGCTGGGCTTTGGCTTTCCTACCTCTGTTCCTACATGTTCATGTAATAACTCTGTTCCTCTTGGCTAAGGCTGTCCCTGCTTCCTCTGTCTGTGTTCTTCCTTTTGGGGGTTTGGGGTTTATCTCAGCCAGGAGATCCCTGTGCATCCATACCAGGCTTCTTCCAGACTTCATGTTCTACACATGGGATGGAATGTGTTTTGAGGAGGTTGTCCTCAAAGATCAAGCAGCTGTCCTGGGCCCCTTTGCCCTCCATGGCAGTCTTCCATGGGATCTGCCAAGCAGAACCGTAACAAACTGAGTTCAACCCCCAAAGTCAAGGATAAATTGAGAAAGTTAATGGGGAAAGAGAACACAGCTTTCCACGTGTATTAGCCCTCAGAAATAAAAATATTTTGAAGCAGTAAACATGTTTTGATAGTTTTTGTATAAATATTAATCATGCAGCAAACTTATACTAAATTAGCAATCTCTAGTGCAGTTACTAAGCAGAACAATTTGTGTTTAAATTAAATGATCACTGCTGATAATGCTATAACAAAACCAATGTTTTCTATACTTACGTCTTTACAATGATCAGGCACATGAATCACCCTAGGTGCCCCAGTTACTGCTGTGTAGCTTGTGGAGGTGGAACAGTTTATATTTCAGCTGAGCTGAGGCTACGGCCATTTCATGCTAATTTTAAAAAACGAGATAGCAAGCAGACTTGATTTCCTCTGTATGTTTTCGCTTTAGCTGGTTACTGCTAGATTATGCTACAGTTTCAGTTTCTTTTTTTTTTTTTTCTTACCCCACCCCCAGCTTTACTGGACTCGGTAGCATACTTACATTAGCTGAAGTCTGTAACTTTTCTGTGCCAGTCCTATCCTGGAAAATACATAGGTTCTACTGCGTGTTCAGCAAATTAAGTCATTCTTCTTATTTGGAAGTTTCTAACCAAAATTCTGACAGCTGCAGGTATTGTGGTCAGAAGTGATAGGTTTACATTTGATTAGTTGCACTTTACTAACAAGCATCTCAATACTGACCTGATGTGATCCTATATGGCATTTACATACCTTTCCTCTATTGTAATAAAAGCTAAAATATGCTAAATAAACTTCCATCAACATGTTTTGAAAAAAGACAAGATTCCATACATTCCACCTCTTCAGCAGCTAACAAAATCCATTATTTTGGCCAATAAAACTTTCATCCCTGGTATCTGTTTTGCATTGAATGTTGATTTTTTTTTTTTTAATCCTCCTTCAGTAATCAGTTAAGTAAATATTTTCTAATGAAATTTTAAATTGGAAATTTTTTTTAAATTTTAATTCTGCTTTCCATAGAGAGCAGAATGACTCATCTAACTTCCAGTAGTGTAGGTTCTTATCTGGGTACAAGGTCTGCTTAGGTGTAATGAGGCATACAGCCTGCACGCTGCCAATAGTAGGACCATCTCTGGAACATCCTTGTTATACTCCTTACCTCCATGGCAAGTTTGGAGAAAGGAGGAGAAGGCAGGCTGATGGAAAGATCCCATATATAAGGAAAGTTGTCTTTGACTAGTTTTGGTGACTTTAAAACTGGTTTGTGCCACATATTTAACCAGTGGAGAATCCTGCTCTTTAATAGCGGATGACTTGCTATTACTCTTTGAAGTCAGTGGCAACACTGAATTATGGCTATTGTGTTAAGTAAGGCAGACACAATTTTGTTAAGGTTTATGCATTTTACAGAGTCTGCCAAATAACAGTTGTTATAATAATAGTGCTTCACATCCTTAGACTGATGTAAAAACATTAGTTAATACATTAATGAGATGATGCCTTGGCTGCATTTTATGCTTTGTCGTGTCTGTTGTAATGAGAAGTCGAGCACGGCCAGCATCAGAAATCTGGTAGTTTCAGCTCTGCAGTGATTATGCTGAGAATTAGGTTGGAAAAGGGAACCATGCAGTGATTAAAGTGTAAGACAGGGGAACTGAATGTCCAAACAGTTTATTGAAATGCTACTTGATACTGTGTTCGTTTAAAAAGTAATCAATAATTATTTTTACAAAGTCTAAGTGTTATTTAAAATACAAGTAAACAGTGGAGGAGTAGATACCATCAAGCTTGACTGTAGGATACACTGTGTTCTCATATGAAGATCATTAGGTTTTTTATGTTACGGTAGTGCTGGAAAAAGTCTCTAGAGGAGAGGCTGTTTTTTTCATGCATAGGCTAAGCCAGAAACCTGGCTTAGCTCTTCTGTTTTCACTTACTGACTGCTGTCATACTACAGTGTATTGAAATGGAGGTTTCTTTTTTTAAAAATCATGGAATGAGACGACTTGTAGCTCCATTTTTCTAGCATTGTATTAAATTGATCTGTTCCTCTCTTCTATCTTAATTTTGTTCATGGAATACACTGATAATGATTGCGAGCTGATGAGGAAAACATACTTGCAAAAGATGTGTGTTTGTTATGCTTGTTCTTTGCCTGAGAGCTGCAAGTTTCTTCAGTTCCTAGAAGGTTAGTTGATAGGTTTATGTTCAAAATGAAAAATGGATGCTCTTTTTTTTAAGTATGGAAAGGATGTAATTTGTGTCTAGTACATGTCTAATATAGTTTCTGATAAAGAATTGTAGTCTGACTATTATTTTATTCTTTTTAATGTTTTCTAGAACGCAGCCAAAAACAGTTTTTGCAGAAGTGGAACCAGAAGATGATGAAACAGACAAGCCAGAGTGGAAAAAACGTAAAATTTGAAAAATGTGGCTTAAAGAGTAAATTTAGAGCATTTGAAACAAAGGGCAGCATGTATTTCTTTATTTTAGGTAGTGGATAAAAAATTGAAAGCAAAAATTACTTCAGTTCATAAAAGTTGCTGTAGTGTAAAAAGGGATTGTTGTATTACATTGGATTGTAATCTCACATCTGAATTTTGTAATAAGGAATGAATTATACTGTGCAAAGAACTACTCTCGAAGTTAAAAAAAAAAAGCACGGCTTTTGGTTTACCTATTAAACTGTCTTTATCTCAACCCACGAGTTTTCTCACTTTAATTTTTCCAATTCTCTCCCCCATCCCATTGTGGGGGGGGAGTGAACGAGCGGCTGTGTGGTGCTCAGCTGCTGGCTGGGGTAAAACCACGACACCTTTATAAAGTGGTTTCTTAACTATTGAAAGTTTTCATTGTTTAACATAAAATTACAATTCTGAATGTCATAAAGTGAAGGACAGATTTAAAGCTAATGTCCTTTAGAGAAGGAGAAAGGAACCTACATTAGTTTTAGGCATTTATATTGTGATTATAATAATACACAATATGCTAAGTATTGTGATTATAGTAATATACACTATAGCAAGCACTCTGCATTTCCACTAAGAGTAGAGAGTAATAGACATCATAAACAATCAAGTTTTTTAATTATGAATTTATTTTGAAGGCATATTTTAAGGCTATATTTGGCAAAGCACTTAATCACCTTTCTGACCTCAAACATGTGGTCCTGATAGTAACCAAAGCTCAGGTTACTTTTTTTAAGCACTGTTTTGATCACTATTTCATTGTATGATTTCCTTTTCCAAGCTTATCTTTGTTTTTCAGTTATCATTTCTATACTTTAGGGGAAAATAAGCCTAACTTCAAAAGTTGTAATGAACATTGGCATAACATTCCCACAACAAAATATTTCCACTACTTTCACTCAGAGTAGTGTTTTGATGATTGGAACCTCACTAAATAATCCACAACTTTATCCCTTGTAAAAATATTTTAGTATATACTGATGTAGAATAGCAAATCAATGCTTAATTTACAATTGCAGCTGTAATTTTTAGAATGAAGGACTGAATATCTAGGTGGGCAGTGAATGGATGAGAAAAAGAGGTACCAGATCAAGAGCAGTGCTTGTTAACAAGGCCTGCTATAGACCTCCCTATGCAATGTCCCCCTCAGCAAATAAACACGAAATGGCATTGTTTCATTTACAGCTTTTTTTTTGGTCTTTTATTCATCCAGATAATGTACTACAAAATAAAGTATTTTCAAATAAATTCCTGTAAAATCTTGAATAACATTTTTAAAGGATTAATATGTCCTTGGTTTTAGGCTGAATATTAACGGTTTATAATTTCTATTGTTAGTTGTTCACTGAGGCAATGTGGCTTAGGGAGCAGAGCTGCAGGGAAAGGCAGATGAGGAAAAATGCTGCAGCTGTTCTCTGAGCTTGAGGGGAGCTTCTCCTTTTATGTTATTTATTCATATCAGATAGATCTTGTTTCCTAATTCTTAGAAGAATGAGTTCTGTAAATGAACCTTGCAAAAATTATGTTCGCATTTCTCTAAGAGTTCGTCATTGTTACTTACAGTGATTAATTGTCTTGAATGAGTGTTTTAGCAGTCCAGAATTTAAAACAGTGCATGTGCATATATGTATTAAAAATATTTAAAACTAACTTAAATTGTACTTATATGTTAACTCTTGGGTTGGTTTGTTGGCCGTAGTCCTTACAATGGATTTTCAAACCTGTTCACCCACAAGGCAAATCTTAACACATTTTTAAAAGCAGTTTTTAGTATTGAACAGCTCAATGGTAAGAGTTCATCCAGTCAGGAAGGAGATATGAACAGTCTGCTTGACCATACTTGGGACAGCAAACTCTGACTCACGCTTTGAATTGCCCAGGGAAAAACCTTACCATTGCAAATATTAACGCAATTGAATATTTGGTATGAAAGATGGAATTCTACATGCAAACTGGAATATTAGAAAATATACTTGTATTAATTTTTTATGAACCTAATTTTCTTTCAAACTTCATGAAGGACATAGGTTTTAGTAATTGCCAAGTTGTAATCTTGGCCCTTTGTGTGTCTGTAGTGTTAATGTGGCCAGAGTCCAGATGGGCTTTTGTTTCCATGTTTCTGAAATAAAGTGGGCTTTTTTTGTTTGCTTACTTCCTTAGAAGATGTGCTTACAGAGGTGCCACATTCATCACTAGTACTTTGGCATGCAGAATGGCTTCCATGGTGCTTTCTCCAAACCTGGATTTTTCTCTCCATGTTCTGTGCAGCTTCTAGATGTTTCTTTATAGCAATTTATGGCTTTCTTGTGCTTTGTGCTAATGACTAATTAAGACCAGCTGTGAATACTACATGCCTGTCCACAGGACCAAGGTTTTTCCTGCCAGGTCATTGCAGCCCACCAGCTAGTGGTCAGCTTGGATCCCCATTCCTTGCTTGTGTCGCTGCTGTTGGTTAGAGGTCTTTCTGTGAGTCCTTTGTCTTGTCCTGTCCTCACTCCTTTGCCCTATCTTATTTCTTAAGTCTTCTGCAACAGATGAGAAGATTGCTAAGGCTGTCTTTGAGTCCTGGCACTTTTCCTCTGGCTGTTTGCAACTGCTTTATGATTCGCTAAATTCCTCTCTAGTCTACTTCTGATGACATACAATTTACTGAAGATTATGCGTTTGCCTCTGTTTTTTGTGATTGATAGCAAGAACTGTGAATTTGTACCCAGAGGCCTCCAGTCATTGGCTCCTTGGTTATAATTACATGCCTAGCTTGATGTTCTTTGTCATGCCTGCCTTTTCTCTGTTGGGCTATAGAAAAATATGTATTATGGGAAGAGAAACCATGAATCTTTACTCTATCAGTTCAATCTCTGCTGGACCCTGAGGAGTGTTTTGCAATGAGTGGCATTGCTGAGCCAATAATGCTATCCTCTTGGTTAGATCTTTATCCATTTATCCATCTTTGACCTCAGATGCCTTTGGAGGTGTCCAGCTTGAGACATTTGTAGCTCACATCCTCCTTTAATACTGAATCATTCAAATTTTGATGTGGCCTGCTAGTCACAATAGTATTGCAAAATCTCTCTTCTATTTCCTCGTCATGTTAAATGCCTGTATGTCCTCCTAGCCTGCCTCTCAGCAATGGGAACCTACAGAAAGTCCCACAATTATGCTCATTAAAAATCAGCAGGCTTGTTCAGACTTTTTTACCACAGGTAGGCTGGGATTTTGTGAGGTTCTGTCCCCTGTTGTTGATCCCTGAGCATTTCTCATCTGTTGCACTGTATCATGGATACATGTAAATGAGAAGTTCAATAGTTAGCTAGCAGAGATGTCCTTATGCTTGCTTGGCGTTGAAGCATAGATGCATCTTATTACATCAGTTTTAAAATCTGCTAGGATTTTTGGCTAATCCCATTTAAACACAATTTTGTATACAATATGCACTTTATCCATCCTCTGGGACTCCAGCATCTAATTGCTTCATGCAGTCTGGACAGCACTGAAACACAAGATATTCCTCTGTCTGTAGCATATCATCCTGGTTGAAATTTGCTTTGGTTGTCAAAGCTTCCCATCCTACTTGCAGAGCACTGGAGCATGCTGAGAGTCTCCCACTTTGGCAGCAGTGTCTTAGATTAGCTTGTTGGAATCTCCATAACCTATGTGTTGCTTGAATGCCTTGGCAACAGTCTGATTTTTTTTTAATGGCTGATGATCAGACAGTATGTTCATCTTGTACTGTGAGAGATGACTCAAAAGAAGGCTGATTCAGAAAACATAGCCAATGTTTCTTTTTTTCTTTCTTTTTTCTTTTTTTTTTTTTTTACCTTAGCTATCATGCAGGGCTGTTGTATGTCATGGCTAGTACTTACAATTTTTCTTTCTCTTTCAAAGAATTCCTGTGGGCTCTGGCCTTTTTCCTTGTATCATGAAACAGTAGATGCAACAGATGAATACCTGCAGTAGATAAACCGGACTGGATGGGTCCTTGAGAAGTTATGTAGTCCATCCTTGACTCAAGTTACAGCTATACCTGAACGAATTCTGGCATGTTTATTGGATCAGCTCTTTAAACACTCCCATGGTAGACACTGCACAATCTCCCAAAACAATCTATCCCAATACTTAATTCTTCTTAGCAGTAAAAAAAATTTCATAATCTCTAAGAAAAACATTCTTACACCAATTGAAGCCCACTATTTGCTATCCTGTTCCCAGCCCCCATGGAAGTCAGTTTAAGACATTTCCCTTCACAGCAGCTTTTTATTATGTTTGAATTTTATTATCTTCTCCTGTCTCCTCTTATTCTTTCATTTTTCCCTTTTGGTTTATGTTTTCTGGCATATCACCATTTACTTGCTTTTCTCTGCCTTGTTCTGATTGTCCACATTTCTTGAAGTGTACTGCCCACGATCTATTCAGTGTTTCCGATGAAGCTACTTTTTTAGCACTACCAAGTAAATAGGAACAATGTTTGCATGTCTCATTACAGTAACTTTTTTCTCTGCAATTTGGTTTTACAGATGGATTTTCAGGTCCTAATCCCCCTCAAACTCCAGAATCTCCATTGCAAAGCTGCTGCCCAGCCAATTCACTGTCTGGTGGTTATGTACTAGTCTTAAGTATTGGATTTTGTCCTTTGCACTGAATTTCATTGCATTTTTCTCAAAATGTATCAGCATTTTATTCAGATTATTTTGAATTTTTTTCTTGGCCCAAAGTGCCTGCAACTTTCTAACACTTCTGGTTGTCAGTGGATGTAACAAATGAATTCTTTGTTCATTCAGCTAAGCTACTATTGAAGCTGGTGGTTAGCAGCAAATCTGTGAGGTTTCCCATATGTATGGGAGGGAAATGTTTCATACGGTGTTAATTTTCTTAAGGGTTCATAAGGTTCTAGTTAATGTACTCAGAAATTTTTGGACAAACAGTTGGCTTTCCTAGAAGTTGTTGGATTCCCTTCATGTCCTTTGGTTTCAGGATTTTTTTAATGTCTCTGTCCCTTTGTGTCTAGCAGGAATCCTTCTGGCATTAACAGTGCTAGATGTTGGAGACCTCAAGACCTCCATGTGTTCAGCATTTCAATACTCCACATTCTGAAAGTATTTTCAGCCTGTCCCAGTTAGGTGTTTTGATCCTGAATTCTCACTTACTTTAATTCTCCTTCTATAATAAAA